ATGCGTATTTGTAAAAAGACAACTCCTAGTATTTGTAAAGCATGCAGATACAACACAAACGAGTATTTGTATAGAAATGTAGCACAAGGTTTCTTGCAAGGATTGTTATTGATTCCAAGAAGACTCTTTTCTTATTAATGAATGCAATTAAATTACATTACTGGATATGCATCTGAAGGATCTAATTACAACATACTTCAAAAAATATATATATATATATATACACACAATATTGAATAATGATATATATAGATCCTCCAACACTTTAAATCTTCTAGGATCTATATATAATTCAAAACTCCGCAATTTACAATGATATCGATAAAAAAAAAATCCGAATGAGGTCAAACTAAATTTGAGTCAATTACGAATATATTAGATTTGTGATTTACTGAACATTATTTATTAAAATCTTTTCTAGAAGATTTATCTTTATAATCTTAATACAAGGTATTATGTGTTAAAAAAAAAAAAAATACAAGGTATTAATTTTTAATGAATAAACAAATCGGTACAAACTTGTCAAAAGTCAAAACTAGACTAGGGATATATAAATTATAATGAACTAAGTTACAAAGGAAACAAATTTTGTAAGTTTGTAAGTTTGTAAGTTTGTCGTCTCACAAAATCGAGGGATATATATGTAAATTCAATGAACATGGCAAGAGCGAAAAGACCTTTTAACCTTGGAAACACCAATAGTCAGCATAGACTATAAAACGCTGGATGTAGGAGAGTGAGAAGCAAATGTCTCAGACTACGAGGCGAGGAGAGAAGAAAATGGTGTCCTAAAGATCAAGGTCTGGTTCCTCTCACTTCTCATCTCCGAGTCTGTGTGTGTGTATATATATATATTGATATTCAAAATATTAATTGTGTTTTTAATCTAAATCTATGTTATTACTTGCTGATTTAGTTGTGTTTGTGATCAGAAAGTATTAGATGATCACTGACCTTATCACAAATTTTGATGCATGTCTAAAATTTCAGTTGAATTTATCTGATCATATATCTCTATGCATGTATTTGTATATATATAAGTTATTTTGTGATAGACCATGGTGATTTATTGTTCTGTTATGTGACTATTCATTTTCTCTTCTAAGAGAATTTCGTTTTAGAATCTATATATAATATTCAATGGTTAATAATTATAATTGTCTTTCCATTGAAGGAATCTGTTTCTTAATTATTTATTTATTTATTTTTTATTGTCTCTTTCTTAATTTTTAAGTGTGAATATGTGAGATGTGAAAGAAAATAATAACATGGAAAGGAAATTAGTTGCTGTGTCAAAGAGAATTGGAACAAATCATGTCCTAGTTGGTATTATTCGGCCTATTCGGAAACCGTTGACTAAGCAGCTGATATGAGGGAAAATGCATGTTATAAATTAAGTCATCTTTAATGCTATGATAATTTATCATGCCGAAAAATTTACTTTAAATGATTAGCATTCTTTTTGTGTTCAAATTGATGGTTTTTATATCTAGGACATGATCAATTACTTAAATGATTAGCATTTTGTAAAAAGTATAAATCAGATGTTTTGGCATGATCAATTACTTTAAATGTTAGCATTGCATATCTCCTTTCTTCGTCTACTAAAATGTGATTTAACTTCCTGAATTAAACTTTTTGATGGTATCTGTCATATTCCAAAAATAGCATAGTTGGTTCCAGAGTTCGTGGCATTTTGACCCCACTTGCTCAGGCCAGGCTCACCTTTTATTCATTTTGTTTGCAGTTGATGCTCTTTCATACTTGAGCTTTGGCTGAGCTTGTGCTTGAGCTTCATCTGAACTCGATTAGGCCAAGCCTTGGTGTTGGTGCCAGCATGGCTTGTTCAGCCATGGGTTTGTAACTAGATAGTGGTTGGACTGTTTAGAATGGTGAACAAGCTATAATAAATTAGCTTAAAATCTGAATTCAAGATATTAATTAGAAGCAAGTTTGTTTATCTGATCTTACTGATCCGAGTTGGCTGATTTAGACTCAGCACATCAAAAGAACGGGCAATGATCCAGCTCATTTCTTTAATTCTCAAATCCAAATGAGCTAATTTCAAGCTACTCACTTATTAAACAACCTAAATGCTACTAATTTTTCATGGAGTCTAAACCATAACTATACAAGAGTATGGCATTGTTCATTTCAAAAGGCAAAAGTAAGTTAGAGTTCTTTTCAAGGCAAGTCCTTGTAAAGTGGCACAATCTATTGAGTGAAATATACTTTTTGTAGAGGATCGTGCCATGCCATACGCCATGTGGCACTATTTATTATAAATGTGGATGATCGCGCCATGCCATATGCCATGTGGCACTATTTATTACTAAAAATACATCTGGCCAATTCTGATAAGACCATATCTAGTCCTAATTGGCACCTCTCAGGCAAAACCAGTAGTCTCAAGCTACTAAGTCTCTGGTGAATGCTGAATTCGCAAGGGCAAGGGTTCGCTACCCTTTGCCCTCTTGTGGTGATGCCCCGCTCCAGTCGGATGGGTTTCACCAAACCCCTATATGAAACTCTCTTCTGCAGAAGAAGTTTCCTGTTTATTCATTAGAAGAGAATTCTCGCCTCGAGCAAACCTTTATGAAATGAGGGCTCGATGTGCGAACAAGGAACGAAAGACCGAGATTTCGGAAGGCAGGCCCTCGATTAGTCTTTCTTTTTCCTTTATGATCGCAAGAATCAGAGTATCAATGGTTAGGTGGCTGAGTTCCAAGGATTCGCCTCACCTCGAGACCTACACAAGGGGGTGAGAATGTTTAATACCCAGTAGCTGAGCTTGAGTAGTAGAGACCACATAATACATTAAATATATGTTGATTGACTTATATGAATTGCATTTAATACAGGCCATCGCCGCCACCTCGAAAACGGGGAGCGGCGTGCCTCGGACCGCCTGCTAAATGTACAATCTGTCAGAGATTACGTAAAATGACCATTGGATAAAGGAGGAGCTACCCTCGTAACCAAGGGTCCTTACCTAGGTAAAGCAACCATTGGATAAAGAGGGAGTTGGCTCTCATGACCAAGGGTCCTTACCTAAATGAAAGTAGTATAATTAGGACCAAACTCTCATCATTTAGGGGGGTTGGAATACATATACACCACCACCACCACCACAACCATAACCATAAAGAATGGTCTTCTAGGACTTGAGCTACCATAGGGTGTTAAACAAATCTGCCTTCTCTCTCTCAATCTCCTCTACGGAGAATCCCTTGTGCCAGCTTGGAGCTCCACTTAGCCTCTGATTTCAGCATTCCCGATAGACGTGGAACGATCTTCTTAACTTATCAAGAACTGGTATCTACACTTTCTTATCTAGGCTTGAGTTAAAATCTGTAAAGGAAAAAGAAGTCAATGTCAGTTTAAAATTTCATTTTGAGAATACCATTCTAGTTGAAGATGAAAAAGATAATTTCGTTTGTGTTCCAGGCATATTAGTTGAGCATTCCAGTAATTACTAAAATATTTAGATGATCCAAATTTAATGGAGATGCGAGTTTGAGTTTCCATCACGTCATTCAGTAATCATTTTCTCGGAATTATCCTAGTTTAGGATTGCAAAGAATGATAACACTGTGGACTCAGTATGTGATAAGATCCCTTAAATTAAAATATTACATGGGAATGCATGGAGCCTTAAATCAGACATTTAGCAAAAGTCTTCTTCCTATAGGATTGAAGTAAGACAATATTTTATTTTTCTTACCTAGAACTCAATTCTGCGAGATCTGAATATTTCTCTGGAAACACCTGCCCCAGGGATCAAAATTTTTATTGTTTGAATCAATGCAGTTAAAACATTTCCATTTACTGGTAAATCGCAGCAAAATATAGGTGGATATTGAAATCCATAGGTTTCTACCGGAAGAACATTGCATTCTATTTCTATTTGGAAAATGGGGGAGGCTAATCACAATACTTGGTTGCTAATTGTATAAAATAGATTGCTAGTTGCCCTACTGAGTTTGTTATTTTACTTGTAACTTGTTTTAAAATGTTTACTTTGTAGATTATAATAATTCAATATTATGTGGGAAACTGGGAAAGTAGACTCTAAAATCTTTTAATGAGATTTTTTATTAGATTATTTTTCTACAATACTGTTTTTCACATTTGCATTTACTCCTCATCTCTACCCTTGTATCATACATACCATTTGTTTCAAATTAATTATTTTTTGATAATCTGCCCAAACATTCAAATTAGGTTCATTGCTGGTGGCGTCAATGATTGTAATGATTGGTGGTTTTGGTGGCTGGCCAGGGATGACAATATTGATGAGGGGTAGCACTCTGATGTCATCACAGGTGGTGCTGTCATGTTGGTAGAGGCAGTCATGGTAGGATAATGACTATTGGTGGCATTCATTTGGTCACACTAACTGTGGATGGTAGCTGCAGCAAAACAGTTGGTCTGAGTTTTAGTTTCTGACAAGAAAAGTACTATATTCAAATGATTTTGTTAGGTTGTTCTCATAATCCCTTAAAGTAGCAAATCCTCACTTCATGAATTCTAAAATACCACAAATTGTAGAATTTAATAATTGGTTATCAAGATTGAAGCATTTTCGAACTGGAACCCAACTGTGTCCTATGGTATTTGCTTTGTGTTGGTTGTGTTTTTAATGTGCTCATGTTATCTTTGATCTTGTTAGGAATTAATATCATGTGTTGGCAATTTTCTATTCAAAACTTGAGTTCTGAAATATGTCAAAGTCATGAATCTCATGTTTACAACCACAAAAGAAGATGGAGATGAAGATCTTCAAAGAACATGTCGCATATCTCTCTAGTCTTGATCACATATCTTGGTTAAAGGTAAATGAGACCATAGATAAAATCCTTGAACTAGGTTTGATCTTTATTAGGCTCAAAATATTGTTGCAATTCTGTTTATCAAAATTGAGCTTTTGATAAAATGATTTTCAAAACGGAAATTTTCACAAAATAGTGAGCATTGATCGAATGGTTGATCAATCAAGATTTTTGCAAAAAAATGTTGTAAAATCGAGAATGCGGTGATCGAAACTTGTCCAATGGTACTTGATTGAAGGTTCTACCAATACAACCATGCGAACACATGTGATTGAGTTAATCAAAGTAAGGAGTAGAATTGAAATTATTCATAGAGCATCAACTGGTTTGTTCGCGAAGAACAAATTGATTGGACATTACTAGTTGTGGAGATCAGAAGTCTATGAAGGAGTACGATGCATGAGGAGTGACTCTGCTGATGGATCATTGGTGGAACTATATGGGTTGATCTTGCATAAGTCTGGTTGGGAGCGACTAAGTGTTTTTTGGGTTAGAGTTTGTAACTCAGTCTGCTACCTCTCTCTCATATAGTGGATTTTGATCTGCCAGGAATAGGTTATGTGTGTTTTTTTTTCCCTTATTTAGTCCTAGGGTTTTTTCTCGTAAATAATTGTATCTGTGCTTTATTTTATTTATTGTTTTATGTGTTTTTGTGATTGCAAGTGAAATTAACTAATTAGTAAAATTATAAACAAGGCTTAATGGTAAAATATTTAATTAGTTGCAGTTTGATATCCGTAGAACCTATTCAACCCTAGGTCTAGTTTATAGGTCGCATTCTGGCATGTCAGAGCCTTGGCCCTTGGGTAATGGTTACTAGTCTCTTCAGTTCTTTTTGCTAATGTGATGGTAGACATACACACACTTTTAAAGCATGCCGTTTATTGTCAGTTACGGTTACTTTCCACATCACAGTAGTTGTAGTGGTTACATGTACAGAGCCTGGAATTGTGTGTGATGCTACTTGTTTTGTTACTTATTGTTGCTTCAACTGCTTTATATAATGTTCTAAATCCCCTTCCACAACCCCAGTTGTTCTTTTGGTTATGTACAATCAGATGAACTTCAGCTTTTAGAGTCTATTTGGGATAGGCATGACATGAAAATTATGTGGAGATAGGAACTAATTTTCTGATTCTCGAGAATTCGTGATGATTTAGACAAGTAAGCCGATTTGATAAGTCAGCAGGATTTAGTACTCTTGGAAAGCCATCTGTGACAAAGTTCCACAATAAGAACAGAGTTTCCTTTTAGCCTATTTCCATGATACTGGTTTGGCCTTCAGCTGGGCAATAATTTCCTGTTCTTAGCCTTCGGCATGGGATCATGTTCTCATTATCTTGAAATTATCCCAGTCTCACTGTTGACAACCATCTTCTCTAAAAGCTTAAGCTATTAGAGAGGGTGTAAGTGTGTAACTTCAATATTTAAATCAACTCTAAAAGCTTAAGCTATTAGAGAGGGTGTAACTTTAATATTTAAATACTTCAACACTCACCAACCACAAATTCTAAATTTTGCTTGGCTTAAAAAATTCATTTGTTGACCTTAAAGACAAAGCCCTTTGTTGCTTCTATTGAACTTTATTTTAACTAAATCATATTTAAATCTCTAAAGATGATAAACTTGTAGAATTAAGTGCCGTCATGATCTTATGTTATGAAGAACCGGACATAGTCCGAAAACTTGAAGGACACATAACCCGCACCTGGAGACATTGAAAAGATAGATAATTGATGGGGATCTTGAGCTGTGTGGTCTACACACTTATTACAGGCGTAGATGTAGAGGATGATTCTAGTATTTTTTTTTATTTTACTTTCCCTATATATTTAGGGTTTACGTTTTCTTATATATTTTGAATTTTACATTTCCTTATATATTTAGGGTTTATGTTTCCTATTAGAGTTTATTGTTATGCATGTGTATATGTGTGATTGATATATTGTTAGGTACCTTTTTTGTGATTGATTATTGAATAGTGATTTCTTCTCCCTCATTCTTGTTCTCCTCTCATTCTCTTTCTTGTTCTCCTGAATTTTGATATCGAAGCACCCTTGCCCCCATCCTACATCAATTGGTATCTAACAATTGATCGTGTGTACTCCAAATTCTCAGGCTATCTCCGGTTCTTCATCATTATACGTATATGTTTTAACAAGCGGCTGATTTGATGCTACAAACATGCTAAAAGATAATATGAAAGAGTAGTGAGAAATGCTAAGGAAACAACGCATGGTGATCTTTCTTTTAGATTAGTTACAAAGAATGGGGAGAAGAATATATACAAACTTAATAAGTTGTGGGAAAAACAGTATCAAGTGCTCAAGATCAAGGACCTAATGGTTTTAGTGAAAGATGTTGAAATTAGAGACATGAGGAAAACTTACTTTAAGAAGCTGTAAAATGAATCATATAATTTGCGTGAGTTTAGAAGAATATGGTAACCCTATGGAGATAAGAGAAACTAAATTTGTCCAGATGATCAATATATGGGAGGTAAAAAAATTCATCGAGTACAATGAAAACAATGAAGGGCTTTATACCCCGATGTCATTCTGATTGAGGCTTGGAGGTATTTACGTTGGTGATATGTCTTTGGCTAATGTTTTTTCAAAAAGATAATAATAACTAAAAAATTCCTTATGAGAGGCGTAAAATTATCAAAGTTGTTCAACATCAAATTATTGTGATATCAAAATAATGTCATACTATGAAAATTGGAAGAGAGTGAACAAAGAGTAATGGGTGAAACTGCAGTGTTGGACAATCAATTTGGATTTATTTCGGGAGGTCAAGATGAAAGTTATTCAAATATTGAGGAGATCAATAAAAACATATAGTGAAAAAAGAAAATTTTACAGAGGGTGCAATAGGGGGTCTTAGAGATATGATATGGTAGATTTAAATGAGAAAGAGGTTAATAAATTAATAGCTTTATAGATGTGTTAAAGGACCTTATGATGAACCAGTGACTATGGTAGGTTTTAAATAAGAAAAAAAGTTAATAATAGCTATATGATATGGTAGATTTTAAATAAGAAAGAAGTTAATAATAGCTATATAGATGTGTTAAAGGACCTTATGATGAGCCAATGACTATAATAAGAGCAATTGGTGGAGAAACAAGTGAATTCTCAATTACCATAGGTTTACATGTGAGGATTGGCATTTAGTCCATGTCTTTTTGTCTTGGTTGTGGATGAACTAACAAAACAAATTTAGGATGAGATTCCGTAATTTATGCTATTTATTGATGATATTGTTTTAATGAGAAAATTAGAGGGATAAGTGCAAAATAAGAAGTTTGGAGAGAAATTGTAGAATTAAGAGCATTTAATATAAGTAGGACTAAAGTTGAATATATGGAATGTGAATTTGGTAAAACTAAAAGGACAAGAAGGGATATATTGAAAATCGAGACTCAAGAGGTACCAAAAAGCAAAAATTTCGTGACCTAGGCGCGGTTATGCACAGAGAGGGAGAATTAAAGACAATGTTAGCCATAAAGTTAAAAGCAGGATGGGTGAAATACATGAGTGCTTTTGGCGTCTTATGCGTTAAAATTTATAAAATTGATATTAACTAGTCATAATTTATGAGCTAAAATGCAGTGTAGCTAAGAAACAATACATTTGTAAAATGAGTGTGACAGATACGTGAATATTGAAAGAAAAAAAATTGTGAAAAAAATAAAATAAAAAAGGAACACATTGATGAGTTAAAATTGATATTAGGCTGTTAATGATTTACGAGCTAAAATGTTGGGTGGCTAAGAAACAATATATTTGTAAAGTAAAAAAATTTATAATAAGAAAGAAGAAGATAAAGTTCAAAAGCAATGCATTTATGAGATGGTTGAACTGTTGAAGTGGCATCCATTCGAGATAAAATGAAAGACAACTAATTAAGATGGTTTGACGAAGTGCATTGATTTCAATAAATGTACCATTTAGGAAACATGAAGTGATACTTGTTAGGGTAATGCTAGGGGATGGGAAGAGCAAAACTGACATTGGTTGGGGTAGGTAGGAAAGATATGATAGTATGTGGTTTAACGGAGATTATGACCTTACATAGAATAGAGTGATAAAATTGGATTTAAGACAAGTAGGAATATAATTGAACATTTGGAATGGAACTTTATTATATTTAGAAATACAAATAGGGATGTACTGAAGATTGATGATCAAGAGATACCAAAAAGTGAGCATTTCCATTATTTAGGCTCGCTTATTCGCAGCGAAGGAGAAATTGGGAATGATGTCAAGAATAGAATCATGGCATGATGGGTCAAATGGAAGAGCATGCCTAATATGTTGTGCTATAAATATATATGTTCAAGATTGAACAGGATGTTCTATAAAGCAACTATTAGACCAATTATATTTTGTGATACAGAATGTTGGATGGTTAAGAAACAACAAAGGCCTAAAACAATTAAACAAGTGTGAGGGAAATGTGAGATGGATGCACGACAAGAGAAGAAATGATAGAACTAGAAACAAACATATTTTGTGAGATAGTTGAAGTGACACCAATTGAAGATTAATGAGAGAAAATCATCTTAGATGATTTGAATACGTGCAAAGATGGTCACTAAGTAAACACCAGTGATGACGAATTAAATGGTCCACATTGAAAGTAATGTTAGGTGAAGGGAAAGAGAGAAATTTTCATGTGTAGAGTTGGTAAGAAAAAATATAGTTACATGTGATTTGGGAGGTAGCCTTGAGAGTAGAATGGAAAAATATGATTCATCTAGCTGACCCCCAAGTATTTGGGACAACTCTCTCTCTCTCTCTCTCCCTTCCAAACTGGCAAAGCATAACTTGTCTTGTTGGAGTTTGGTTTTCAGTTAAGACATTTCTTGATGTGGCATTTCTACGTTCGTTAGCCTATTAAATTTTCTATGAAACAAAAGAAATAATTTTACATGTAAATCAACGTGGAAATTGATTTCAGCACTTTCCTGAGTTTGATATTGGTACTACTGTGAAATGGTTTACTATTACATTACCGACACAAATGATCTTTTACTGGAATTGTTCTTTCACTTTTTATTGGAACTGCCATGTGGTGAAATTCCTTATTACTGGAGTTCTATGTTATGTTATTCGTTTGGTGTGTGCTTGTTATACACAGAACATTATGGAACAATTCAAGGGTGTTTGTTCATTATCACGTGATATGTGGTTCTTTGTATACAACAGTGTTACCTCATTAATAACTAGGAATGTTATCTTTGTTTCTTCTTGGTGTGTACTCATTTTTCTTTACTAATTATTTGCTGACAGTTAAATATGCTAGTGTTTCTATGACAGTTTATTGGTAAGAAACAATCTCACAAGGAACAGTTTGAGCTGATCCTTTACAGTCTCTGTCCGATGGTGGACTCAAAGCGAAGTTGCTCAGCCAAGTTAAGTGGTCGAGTGAGCAAGGGACTGGTTGATTTGCCACAGGAGATAATCTCTGATATCCTGTCTAGACTTCCAATAGAGTTGATCTTGACATGCAGAATTGTTTGTAGGAGCTGGAATCACTTGACTCAAGATCCTGATTTTGTCAATTTGCAGCTTAGTAGATCAAATTATCAGCCAACCCTCATTATTGAACCACTGCCTGCGAGTGGTATTAATTTTACCGTAGACCATCTACTTCTACTGGATGCTGAGCATAAAATTAAACGGATTCCCATTGAGAGTATGCTGCTGGAAGAATATGAAATTATGTGTTCATGCAGTGGATTGCTCTGCTTATCTCCAATTACCAAGCTAGATCCTATGGTTATCTATAATCCTATGACAAGACAGCGCATGATTTTGCCATCATTGGATTGTGAAGCAATAAGAAGTCATGAGGATGGTTTTTTAAGAAGTCATGAGGCTGGTTTAGGCTATGATCTCTCAACGGGCAGGTACAAAGTTGTCCGAGAATATAAATATGGAAATGAATCCAGCAGGTTTGAGATTCTTTCACTTGGAGAAAGTTCATGGAGAGAATTAAGTGCTCCTCACAGTCTAAATGATTGTTACTGGGATGGATCTCCGTCACTGTTCTGGAATGGGGCCCTCTACTGGAAAATAATAAAAGATTCCAATGGAGATTGTAACATCAGCATCCTTGCCTTTGATTTAAGTGAGGAGAAGTTTCAAATTCTCTCTTTTTCAAATAAATTTTCCTTTCCTTGGTCTTCTTGTGACTTGCTAGATTTGGATGGACGTTTAACTTTAGTAGAACATAAATATGATACTAATATGATGAAACTATGGAGATTATCAGGAAAGAAGGTTGGAGATTTTTCTCTGTGTCTGGAACAGATATATGATACCCATGTGAAGTGGACTTCTGAGATGTCTCCTATGGTGATTAGTGGGTTAAACAACAATGGTTACTTACTATGTGTAACTCTTTGGAAGGACGGAGCCCAGAGGACATATATCACTAGGTATTTTCCTCAAAATGCAGAGTACTGGCATTTGGACATCCCAGTCATTACTGAATTGTTCAACACTTACTCTTTTAGACCCAGCCTTGTATCTCCAGTTGCAGCTTCACTTCTTCCATAAAGAGTAAACACTTGTTGGTTGGATCGGGACTACTGACTGGTCAACTTCTTTTTTTGGGAAGTACTGGTGAGTGGTGAACTAGACTGTACAAATTCAACAGTATGTTTTGAACTATTTTATTATTGTTGAATTTTATTTTTCTGTTTAGAAGTTTCAATTGATAATTCTGTCCATTCTTCGCTGAAATTTGTTTGCAACTGCTTTATATGTTTGTACTCTGAAATTGAATTGAAATTTACTTTTTTACTTCTATATATTTATTATTATGCATATAAAGATAGTTAGGAGGGATTCCTGGGTTTCCTCTCTCTCTCTCTCTCTCTCTAGTGACTTAGAATAGACCAATTTGTCACAGATGGTAGAGAATGTCTAGGAACTCCATCTCAAGTTTTAGATTGCATTGATGTTCTCATGCACAGAAGCATTTATACTATACTAACTTAATATGGAAAGTGTAGAATAAGGCGCCATCTGATAAAATTGAATTTTAAAGACTGAATCGTTTTAGGATGGATTGGTAGTTAGTAGCTTAAGTAGTTGCATTTGTAGAATTGAAAATTCAAGTATAAACTCGCGGAGTTGCATCAAAGTTTAAATTCACCTTTGGCCTTTCATTCAGTGTATTCAACATTAAGTGAACTTAAGATTAAGACCTTTCTTGAGAGGAATTTTCTTTTAAGTGATAATTAGTTGTGATATCAAATACACTAAATGCAATAAGCATTCAAAATTTTCAGGTGTTATGCACGTAAGTGGTTTATCAAACAGCTTGTATTTTGTGCTTTTGCTTTGTAAGGTATATGAAGAAGAACGTATATTCTTTACTGAGTTTTCAAATGAAAAGTCGACAAAAGTTTTAGTTTTTCAACCTTTAGTTTGTGCATAGATAGAGCAAGTCATTCTTAAATCCATATGAATTATATTAGATTTCATTGGGTCAGGTTGGATTGGAGCTTTTATTTGACTTCATAAGTTGGAAACGATTAGGCATACCAATAAATATATATATATATATATATATATATATATATAAAAGAAAAAATGGAGTATCATGAATGCTTTTTGATTGGGGACAGAAAAGGAGTGAAATTTATATGTACCTCCAAAGATTAAAGAAAATAGAGTTTTATCTCCTTCTTTTTCATCTCTTTTTTTTTTTTTGGTAAAAAAATATTGGAGATTGAAGAATACTGATAGGTTCGATTAAAACATGTTGCTGCTTGCTGCTTGCTGCTTTTAGTTTTATGTTATGCTATAAACAATCCCCTTAAATGAGTTTATAAAAATTATTTTGCGACAAAAAGAATAATCTGAATCATTTATTTTGATAAAATAACCGGTCAGGCACAACTTACAAAACAACAAATAATATTATAAAAAAAGAAAATTAGCATTGTTATTAGAATTCTCATTTTATTTGTTTATTTTTATTACATTTCATTTTGTTAGGCTACAAGTAAAATAGATAAATTAGATTGTTATCAAAATGATTTAAATTGTTGCAATGACCCAACATTTCTTTTTATTATAAAAATATATATATATATATATATATATTTTATACATATAGTTTATGCATTTGGCTAGTACTACAAGTAACACCTAGTCTCTCATATCTTTTCTTGATTGAAAGGTAAGGACTGGTTCTATATGCTCTGGATTCATTATCTAGATTGTGATAGAAGTCACTCAGACGTCAGTTTGGCAATCATATCAATATTTTGATTGCATAATGGATTCTCCTCCCATTAATATGGGATTAAGGCACTGATGACGATGATGAAGAAGAATGGTCTTCTAAGAAACAATGTAATGCCTGTGTTCCACCCATTTAAGTTTTAATCCTCAATGTTTGTCTATGCAAATTTTGATCATCTAGATAATTTCTTGTCAAAATGAATATCCAATGATACAATATGATGGGTGTTTAATCTATTTGATTGGTATTGGTTATTAGTAATGTAATAATTATAATATATGTGTGCATTAACTCCCATTTTGATCTCTTGTATGATAAATGTCATACTTAACTCTGTAAATAAGTAATTGCTAGGGAGTCATTGGATCAACTCCATACTTCACTCTGTAAATAAAGGAAAACTAGAATAGAGTTGGCATCAACCAAAAAAGATGAAAGACATGAGGAACTGGTAAAGCACTTGTTGTGATCATGAACCACTGACACTAGTTATCTGACCTGCTTAATTAAATTCATCTTATCAATGCTTGCTTATGTCTGTTGGTAATAAATGCAATGAAAATAGAGTTTATATAGCAATTTTCTTTTATATCTTCTATTTTTTGATGAGACCGACTTCTATTGCTTTAATTTTCCATGGCCTGTTTGCAGAACTATTTTATGAGCTAATTTGAATAATTGAATGTTGTAGAAGTCTCCGAAAAATTACACAAGCTGGGTTGAGGCGCCATCACTATTTGAAAGGGGCGTCCCCAACGGTCTCACAGAACAGAGAGGTAATGTACTCAGCATTGAGTACGGGTTTAACCGAATACCAGAGGTATCAGGGAGGACCACAGGTAGAGCGATGATGGGGGATCAAGGTAGGACTCTGGGTTATGACGCACCACAATACCACATAGTAACTGTACATGTCAGGAGGGCGTGAGATCAATCATATAGTTCAAGGTCACCAACTACCGGAAACATGAGGAACAAGACAATGCACGCCCAGGCATGGTAGTTGTAGTGGCAAGGGTAGTACCAGGAAGTATAGAATAAACGTAATCCGCGGCACACTACACCGAGTCATATCGGTTATAGGCTTTTGTGTTAGTTTTTGTTTTCAAGTAGAAACTTGTACTCTATAGTTAAGTCTTGGGGATAATTTATTGTACAAGTTTGATAGAGGTTGCCCCATCTGGTTATGTATGTACTGTACTGTTGTTCTGTTGATATAATTTTCTTACTAAAAAGAAAAGAAAAAGTATTAGCTGTATATGCAGTCTAATATATATTTTGTTGGGAAAACTTGCTATTACATGTCGATCATCTTAATTTTCTCTCATTGTTGGAACACTGTATTTATAATACGTTTCAGATGAGATGAAGCTTGGAATGGGAGACTGCTGCTGAACGCGCCACTGCGATCTGCATCCGTTATCAAAGTGAAGTGCTCAAACTTCTTTTTGCTCCAGCTTTCTTTGCTTTGAAAATTTTCTCCCTCCACTTCTTCTTTGCTTACCAAACTCTGCAACTCACCCATTCACATTAGTTATATGATATATATACATACGTTCAAGATGCAGATAATGCAAAGCAGAAGCCAGATTGATTGCAATATAACTCTTCCGTGTAAGGAAGTCCAAATTACTCTGTTCGGAATTCTCCATCTCCCTCGAAAAGGCATGCCTGAAATGTGATAGGTCTGTCTGGTGTAAAAGATACTATTGTTCAAAAACAGGAAGACACGAGAAAAAGAAGCTAACTGCTACTCGAAGAGGCCACACCGACAAAACAGACGATGGTGACGAATCAATGTATACCCAAAGTGGACTCTCTCAAAAGGTATTGTATACAAATGGATCACTAGTCTAAAATTTTTAAGATGTAAATCCAGTAAGATATAAATGTACTTGTAGCCCTCAACACCTAGAGGTGCAGAGCATGTAGAATAAAAGTGGGTATTTGGGTGGAAATCCAAGAGGGAGTGTTTTAAATCATGGTGGGTAGATGCCAAGCAAAAGTTTTTTTTTTTTGGCTCCATTAAATATGTATAAATATAGTGGTAAAGAAACCAAAAACTTTAGAGAGAAATAGTTTGGCTATATTCTGTTGCATCTACAACATCATTTGTACTTGTGTGACTCATAGATGTAAAGACTCGTTGCATGATGCAGTGATAGGTTGGTTAAGAAGTTTGAATCCGAAAATAATCAAATATTTTATACATAACTAACTAATGTCTGAGTGGATCTGTCTTCAAGTGTTGCTCTCCTTCTAACAAGTGATGACCTTTTAGTTACCTTGTGTCAAATAGTTTTGAGTAGATTCACTAGTCCATAAATATTTCATTCCAAGTATCTTTCACTAAAAAAAAAATCAGTATTGGAAAAGAATTGAATAATGAAATCTTAAGGCTCTGTTTGCATTTGTTTCTGTTCGTGTGCCCTTCTTTTTCTTTTTTTTTTTGTGCCTTCGGATAGTGTATTGATTTAGCGAAATAAAATATGAAAATGTGTTTGCTGTGATTTGAATAGTATCGAAATGTTTTCAAATTAGAGATCAAAATTAATTGGTGCTTCCGATTACTTCCACATTGTATCAAAAGCATTGTAAAGACGAAAAAAGAAGAAGAAGAAGAAAACTCTTAAATTACATTCTTAACTAGTCATTTTATTTTTTAAAACTTACAACATGTTTTTACTAAACATATTATTAAAGAAAAATCTTACAACAAATATAATGTTACTAAATATATTTTCGAATAATATTGAAGACACTGCAAAACAGTGTTGTTTGTGTTTCGAATCAAAACAACCCATCGATATAATGCAGATACTACCATTATGATGATTTTATTATTATTTTATCCTATTCCATGTATTATATTATAGGTGTTGTAAATATCACTTGTCTACCAACAAAAATTCTGATACCATTTATTGGGTAGAAGCACTAATACCACTTTATATGTGTACCAGTGCTACTCAATGAACTCAATAAAAAAAATTTCTCTACTATTTTGTAATACCCATGATATGATTCACAATGCTGTGGGCCCCACCACCACAGCTGTGGACGGAGGCCAAAACATTATGAGACAACCGTGTTGTCAGTTTGGTCAAGTTTTGCATTTCCCATTCTCCGGAAAAAAGTTTTGCATTTCCCATTTTAATTTGCAAACATTGCATATGCATATTTGCAATAAGATCCATCTGCAAAACAAAAAGGAAACAAAAGATTTTCTCTATTAAATGATAAAACATGAAGACCTCTAGAATTAAGTTTGCCCAATTGACTGAAAGGGACCAAAGAAGATGTGAATTTTAGACACACACACACACACATATATATATATCTCCTAAATCTACCAATACTTCTATCAGATGAACTCTGTATATTTCAAAAGCAACCATTCTATATATATATATATACTTTGATCATGGACAGTTCCTATACTAGACCAAAATTCTCAAAATCTGTAGTATATTAAATTTGAGAGTAAAGCTCCCTTTAACTTGTTTATCCTTTACAGGAACTAGCACAAAGAATAGTAGTAACTAGCAAGTATACTGCAAATCTGCAATGTATCTTCAGCAAAAGTGCTATATATATATATATATATATATATATATATATATATATATATATTAGTACTATATGGGACATATATATTAGAGTGAACTGGAATGGATACGCCACGTCTATAATCAAAACTTCAGAAAATGTAGGATCACACTTTGAGATCTTGATACTCAAAATTTTAATACAAGTTTTTTACAGTAATAAACTCGATTATTGTATCATTTATTATAGTCAATTAATTAATCTAGATTAATTATTCAGAAATAATGAAATAGAAATAGATTCAAATTATGATTAATTAGACTTCCTCTGCAACTTGCTTTGTTGCTGAAACCCAAGTTTTATTTATTTATTTATGAAACAAATGCATTTTAAAGATTATGGATTTGAAGTCTTGATCTTGAGAGATTAATGCTGAATTATTGCTGTGTTGCTTCTTTTTCAATTTGATTGTATGTCCGTCGTCCATTTGTGCTTCTCAATTTGTTACTCTCATCTTCCCCATTCGTGTGGTTCTCACCAACTACAGAGCCGTGTTACTACTTCATTATTGATTTTTTGTTTGAAGTAGTTGTTTTCTTCTCTTCCCATTGAAAATATTTGAATGCTAGCTACGTCTACAGTTGAGTTGAGGAAGAAAGTGAGTATGGAGACTTTACCTCAATATTCTAAGTAATGGAATTGCAAGGAGACGGAGAACACACATATACACACACTCTCCAAGTGGTGTTCAAAATTAATTTAAGGGCACGTGTGGATGGACTACGATAGATGGTGATAACTCACAAACTAAGAACCAGGGATTTTCTTTCTTCATGCAATTCTCATTGTTAGTTGACAGTTGTCTTCTTCCTTCCATTAGATGTGACGACCACAACCACTAAAATTATTGATTTAGACATGAAAATGGGCCCATGCCCATATGGTAAGCATTGCTTCAAAAGTTCCTTATTTCAAAATGATATATATATATATATCGACACCCATTTAATTGGCGATCTTTAGTACACACGGGACTCTAATAAACCATAAGTGTAATTCCAGTGTTTTTGCATTTTGCAAGACTCTTAACTCAATGAGAAATTGGGAATGAGATTTACTGTGAAAAAAAAGAGAACAAAATTGGGAACGGGTGAGGTTGGCTAGTCGGTCCATATATATTTCAAGATATTGCTTCGAAATACTAGAAATATTTGTTTGAATTAATGATTATTCGTAAGGAATTATTACATATAAATGGTACTAATAACCTATATTTATCATTTGATGGAGTCAAGTCTCATAATTTTGAAAAAATGAAAAAATGAAAAAACACTGTTTAGCTCCACTAACATGCCACTTTTAGACACATTCGTACCACTTTTAGTCATTAGGTACTACTTTTTGTATTGTACAAAAAGTAATACATACATGCACAAAAAGTGATACATATGTATTTAAAAGTGATACATTTGTATCCAAAATAAAAGTAATATTTGATGCACAAAAATTGATACTTCCATAAACAAAAAATGATACTTATATGCTTAAAAGTGATACCTCAATGAGGATCAATGAGGATAAACAATGTCTTTTCATATCTATCTAAGTATTTTGATCAATTTTATTTTTTTTAAAACTACGAGAATTCGACTCTTTTAAATAATAAATATAGGTTATTAACACTGTTTATATATAATAATCACTGTACATAAGTTTAATCGTATGACTGTGCATTCTTAGATATTTCTATATATACAATTCAGTAGTTGTTTATATATAATAATCACTGTACATAAGTTTAATCGTATGACTGTGCATTCTTAGATATTTCTATATATACAATTCAGTAGTTGCTTGTAATAAAAGCAAGTCTAAAAGTGATGGAATGAAGATTGACAGGAATAGGAGCTTTGATGAAATGGGGTCATCTTTGGTCCTCCATACATGGGACAGAAAAGACTGGTCATTCAATTAATACTGTAAGGTCGAGTCATATTGATAGTGATTGATGTGAGAAAGATGGTACATAGAATATAGTTATGCTATCAACTTTCCCAAGCTATGATGCTCGTGAGGCTCAAAATCACAAGCAAGCAAATTTTGTGGGGTTCATTTTGGTCCAATTATAATTCAACCAATATAATTAAATAATAAAAAATTAAAATTTAATGATAACATTTTTCTGGTTAAATCTAGGAATGATAAATTACGACACAACATGACAAGACAATACGATACGAATCCGACACGAATTAAAAGGGTTTGGAGTTTGGCATAAACGGATTTGGATCATAAAAGGGTCGACATGATTGACTCGTTTACTTAACCGTGTCGGGTTAGGGTTGAAAGTTTAACCCGTTTATGACTCATTTAACTCAACATGTTATAATCATGATTATGACTTATATAATATGTTACCTGTTTAAACCCAATTACTATGATTAGTTAAGTCATTTTAATATAAACTTTATTTATGCGTTATGATTTTTTTTTTTTGAATATTTGGGTTAATTATGGTAATTTTTTCTACTATTTAGTATTTGATTAAATATTAAATGTCTTGTTTTGATAAACAAGTCATTAAACAGGTTAACACATTTATATGTTTAATAAACGGGTTGGGTTAGTGTTGAGATTTTTGACACGATTATTAAATGGGTTAGATTTTGGTTTATCTATTTAGTATAATACCCTTACATCGACACGACACGAACACTACCCACGAACACGAATTGTCACCCCTAGTTAAACCTAATTATAATATTGGTAAAAGTGTAAAAAAATTTCCTAAACTATTATAAAAATAAAAAATAATTGCCTAAATTATTTCGGGTTACAAATCAAACCTTCAACTATACAAAAGGTTGCAAACAAGTCCCTTCCAATTACTCTGTTGAGTCAAAATTACCAAAATAATCTCACTTATTACATTATATAAAAAAGACAAAATAAAAAATCCTAAATGTCAAATACCATATTTACCCCCAAAGTCTTAAGTTGCCCTAAATACTAGAGTACTATTTAAGAGTATCAAGATCTCAAATTTTGGAGAATATAACTTTTTAAGAGTGTAATTTATATATATATATATATATATATATATATATATATATATTTTATTATAATGGTAGAAAATGAATTTCCTAATTTGCCCTTATAAAATTTCGCATTGACATTCTTTTTTACTATGACACTTATTTCAAGACAAGAAGGTAAATTAAGAATATTAAAAATATAATGCATTAAATTTTGAACTAGAACAATTATTTTGGAAGAGTCAAAAAAGAAAAGATAGACACTCTTTGTTTTTTTTTTTTTTGAATGGAGAGGGTAGAAAAGAATGAGATTACTCCAAAAAAAAAGGAAAAAGTGTTGAAACTCTACCCTTTTCATCCTTGGTTATTATATGTGCGTGCGCGATTAATTTTATTTATTTTTGTGTGCGATTAATTTTATTATTATTATATGTGTGTGAGAGATTACTCCTTGTCCTTATTATGAAAACTACTCCTTGTCCTTTTATCACTCAGAAAAGATTGAATGCAAGGCGATAAATTGATGGCGAACAAAAATAGTACTTTTGGAAAATGAGAGAGAG